CGCGCCGCAGCCAATGGGAGCGCGGCGGCCGCAGCAGTTAGCCAATGGGAGCGCGGCGGCCGCGGCCGGCAGCCAATCGGCACGGTCCAAGTGGAGCCGAGCCGCGGGGTCCGGCCCGGCGGTACCGGCGGTACCGGCGCGGGGAGGTGCGGCCGCAGCCGCGGCTCCTCGGCCGGGGCTGGGCTGCCTGTGCCGCTGAGGGAAGGCAGGACCGTGCAGGGATAGAGCCGGCGCCGTGGACGCGCGCTGCTTGGGTGGTTTCACTTGTTCATCAAACAGCAACAGGCTTTTTTTTTTTTTTTTTCACCTTTTTTTTTTCCCTTCACTAAATCACTTTGTAAGGAAGGAATCTTCCCAGGGCCTTGTGCGCTCCCCACCGGGACACTGACCGCTCGGCAGGCCAGGACGGAGCCTGCAGCCGCCTGTGCATACAGATGTTGTGCAGAGCCCGAGCAGGGCTGGCAGAGCGCTGTGTAGGTGGGGAGCTGTGGTGCAACCTCAACCTGTTCGGTAGAACAAAAAGATTTTGCAAGGTCTTCTACTGCAGGAAGGGGAACATCCCTCAAGGGGTGAGAGAGTCCATTGCCAGACTAATTGGAAAAGGCATCATCTGAGCAGAGCAAGGTTGAAGTGAAAAGGAATCAATTGAATGTGAATTCTCCATTTCATGTACCAGTACAACACCTCCAGCATCTGCACTGCCTCCCTGTGCCTCCTCCTAGCCAAGAGTGCAGCTCTCATGCTGGGACACTTCAGAATGACAGTACCTTTGGCCTCTCTCCTCTTCATGTCCCACTGGAAAATGCTTTAGCTGATTTTCTTCCCAAGTGCCAGTCAGATTTACAATAAGCAAATCTTATAATTAAAGGCGTTATCAGATTCCCCAAACCTACCACGTACTATCTTTATCAGGAATTCAGACAGCCAAAGCTCAGTCTTTCCTCCACACGACAGTGAGTCATTTCTGAAAGGCCATAATTATATAAAATTTCCATTCTGCTCTGCATCTCCCCATTGCACAGGAAAAAAAGGACAATCAAAAACAACTTTTGGTGACTTGTAGATTGCTCAGACTTGAAATGATCAAGTTTTGTCATGTCTTTTCCCCTTTTACTTCTTATTTTAGGTTATTCCAAAGCATAAGTTTGTCCTTGTGAAGTTTGACACACAATATCCCTATGGTGAGAAACAAGATGAGTTTAAAAAGCTGGCGGAGAGCTCAGGCTCCAGTGAGGATCTGCTGGTGGCTGAAGTGGGAATATCAGGTGAGGAACTCTGAGTACATGCAAACAGTGTGGGCTGGTGAGGAGGGGATACATTTCGGTGTGATTTCTGCAGGTTCTGAGGCAATTCTGGGGGAGGGATGGATGTGAGAGTGGAGCTCCTGCCCTGGCTGAGCCTGGCTGTGCGTGGGAGAGCTTCTTATCCATCTGGGCTGGGTAATGAAGAGTCAGCCCACGCTGCTGAACTGCTGCCACCTCCTCATCCTCAGCAATTCTTGCCTTTTTTTCCCCTCTTCTTTGCTGAGAGAAACCTTTTTGTCCCACACGCAGGGAACAGACCTCACAAGAATGGTGTTTTAGCCACAATCCTGGAAGAATATTCACAAAATATTCAAAATCCACAAAGAATATTTAGTGTGATTAATTCCATGCAGCAAGCCCTGGGGCAGCACAGCAAGGGGTTGTTGCACTGTGGCTGCTCTAACTTGATGTGACTGTGACTGGATTTAAGAGAAAAAGAGTGAAAAATAGATCACTGTCACCTGACATGCTCTGGCTTTGTAGGTTGAATTAAGAATTTAGGCTTCATTATCAAACTGTGAAGTTTTACCCACTCTGATATTTCTAAACATATGTGGAATTCTCCGAGTAGCATATTTGAAATGGCTTTGTTTTCTGTCCTCAAGAATAAATATAATTTATGTAAGATGACTAAACGTCTTGTAGCTTGGCATGCTGTCAGAACCAAATCATTCTCTGCACATAGACAGGAAAAACTCTTATTTAACTGTAAAATCAGTGGATAGAGGAAAATAAGAGGAAAAAGGGTATTGATTTCCCATAAAGAGGACAGAGTTTATACAAAAGGTCCTGCCAATGTCTTACACTCTCACAGTCACAGCAAAACACCATTAAAGTCTTTTGCTTTGGAAAAGCCACTGAATGTTTGCCTTGCACAAATGATTTTATGAGGTGTTTTTATTTCAGTGTGTGGCATTTCCTTGGAACAGGCTCTCCACAGAATGGTCAGGGCCCCGAGGCTGCCAGAGCTCAGGGAGTATTTGGGCAGTGCTCTCAGGCACAGGGTGGGATTTTGGGGTGTCCTGAGCAGGGCTGGAAGCTGGACTCGATCCTTGTGGGTCCCTTCCAGCTCAGGATATTTCCATGACTCTGTGATTTCCTGGCAGACAGGTTATTAGGACATGTTGAAGCTCTGCCTACAAGTATTTGTGTGGGAGGGAATCCTAATTTAATTTTTGATTAACTGTGCTTTTCTGTGTTTCGTTGTCCCTTGACAGATTACGGTGATAAACTGAACACTGAGCTGGGAGAGAAGTACAAGCTGGACAAGGAAAAGTTCCCTGTTTTTTACTTGTTCCAGGATGGTGACTTTAAAAATCCTTTACTTTATAGTGGTGAGATCAAGGCTGGGGCTATTCAGCGCTGGCTGAAGAGTAATGGCATCTACCTGGGGATGCCAGGCTGCCTGAAGGAGTATGATGTGCTGGCCAGCAAATTTATGAGCACCACAGAGAAATCTGATCGCCAGGCCCTCCTGAAAAAGGGGCAGGAGAATTTAGGAAAAGCAAAAGAAACCGAGAAGAAGTCAGCAGAGCAATACTTGAAAATTATGAGCAAGATCCTGGAGCAGGGAGAGGAGTTTGCTGCTAACGAAGTCGTCCGAATCACAAAGCTGATCGAGAAGAACAAGATGAGTGATGGAAAGAAGGAGGAGCTCCAGAAAAGCCTCAACATCCTCACTTCTTTCCGGAAGAAGAGTAGTGAAAAAGATGAGCTCTGATGTGTTGGAGAACTCTCTACAAGCTGTGAAACATTGTCAAGAGTCCTAACCAGTTCTCCTTAATGCAAGCAAACTTCCCGCTGACTTCAAGAGGGCAGCACATCTCCTTCTGGGATTCTCAGTTTAGAAGATCAAGAGGAAGACATTCCTTAAAAACACAGTATTGTAAATGTTGGAAAAATCACCTAAGAGCAAGACACAGCAAGTATTGTGTAATGCTATCCAATTACAGTGTTAAAGCAGACAACAACAAAAAAAAAAAAAGCTCTAGATTGGCCGGAAGCTCATTCCTGGTGTTTTTTACAGCTGTTCCCTGGCTAACAAATAACAAAATTCAGTCTCTCATTCCATTTTACATGCTGGAAAAGGTACAGATTGGGTGCCCTCTGCTTCCCCACCTTTCCCTGTCTGTAATATCCTTGGGTTTTATGCTTGTTAATCTACCCCTCACACACCTTGTGTTGTCCCACTTTGGCTCCAAGTCTTGTTCTTACCTGTTGTTGACTAAGAGACTCAGAGCTTCCTTTTTCTGGCTTCTCCTTCCATGGCTTCTGTCCCTGTTTGCTTTGGGTAGCAGCCAAATGCTGGCAGTGAAGACAGTTCACAGCTTGCCCCTCATTTTCTGTCCAGAGCAGCCATTTCATCAAATATTCTCCTGAAATCCTTTGCGATACCTTGGCACAGTGAGTGAAGTGAGTTCTGAGCAAGGGCAGAGTCTCCTTGAGGTGCTATTACACTCAGTCTCACCAGTTTGTGCAAAAAATCGGGTTTTCAGAGGTAAATTTAGATAATTTTCTTACAGCTGAAGAGGTGTTCTACCTGTCCAAGCTTCATGAACAAAATGTTTTTCTAGCCTCCAGAAACAATTGACACTCTCAAACTAAAGCCTCATCAGTGTTTGGTAGTTCTGAATATTTGAAAATAAGGTCTTGTAAGAGGAAGCAGAAGCATTTGTGTCCTTAGAAGCCTCATCTGTGTTATTTAAAGGGAGGTGCCTGGTCCAAGGATCAGGTCAGTCCTCAGAACTGTGCAGTTCACGCTCTGTGGAATTTGGATGCCTCTGGAAGATGCTGAAGTCCTGGTCAGGCTGACAGTAGTTGGAAAGAGAAACACCTGTGAGTTTTACCTTAAGAGTATGCTTTAAACAAAACTGATTCCTGTGGGAGCTTTGCTGCCTTTTGAATCTTGGGGTGGGTACAAGGAGCAGATGTTGCTGCGAGATAAAATGTATTAATAATGCTATAATAAAAAAAAAAAAATCCACTTCAGAGCTGCTTCTTTAACCACTATAGAGAAACTACTGCCAATTTCATGATCAGAGGGGAGGCTGTGACTGCTGAAGCGAGGTGAGGGGAGCCGAGGGTGTCCCTCGGCCCAGCGCTGTCCCCTCAGGAGCGGCAGAGGAAAGACCCCGGCAGGGTGGGCAGTCCTTGGGAGGGCTGTGTGGAGATATTCAGCCCCGGAGACCCTGAGGAAATCCTGAAGGGAGCCGTTCTCGAAGCAGTGAGGGAACTATTCCCCGGGACTCTGAAGGGAGCAGCCCCTGACAGGATCGGCACTTGAGGTGTCCGTGCCCCCCTGGATCTGTGAAGGGAGCAGTCGCCGGGCTCTCTGAGGGGAACCGTGCCCGGGCTCTCTGAGGGGAGCAGCCCCCGGACTCTGAAGGAGCCCTGCCCGGGTTCTTCGAGGGTAGCAGTCCCCGGGACTCTGAAGGAACCGTGCCAGGCTCTCTGAGGGGAGCAGCGCCCGGTGTTCTGAAGGAGCCGTGCCCGGCTTTTTCGAGGGTAGCAGCCCACGGGACTCAAGGGATGGTACCCGGGCTCTGAGAGGAATAGCCCCCGGGCTCTCTGAGGGGAGCAGCCCCCGCGCGCCCCCTCAGAACCGCCGCCGCTTCCCGCCCCCGGGTGCTGGTGACGTCACGGAGGGGCGGGGCCGAGGCTCCGCGGGGTCGCCTCAGGGCGGCTCCGTGAGGGGAGCCCGGGGCGGCGGTGACCGGAGCGAGCCCGCCCACCGGGGCTCGGCCGGTTCTGCCCCCGGAGGGATGCGCGGGACGCCGGTGCCCGGGACTCTAATCCTGCTGTTTGCCCAGGACTCCTGTCCCCTCAGCCCCACTCTGCCAGCGGGCGCTCCCCGCAGCCGGCCCCGCCGGCGGGGGCCGGGCGCGGTGCGGCCCCGGGGCGGAGCGCGGGCGGTGTCCGCAGCCCCGGAGCGGTGCGGCGGCGGTGGCGGTACCAATGGCCCTGCCGGCGGAGGCGGACCGGCTGGATGGGGGCTGGCAGGAGGTGAGCGAGCCCCGCCGGCACCGGGACCCCTTAGGGACAGCGGCTGCCCCCTCCCCGGGACCTCGCCGTGCGCGTCTCTCCTCATCCATCCCCTCACGGTCCTTCCCCAGCCCTGCGCCCCGCTCCGTGCCCGGCGGCGCCGGCAGCGTTGCACGATCCTCCCCCGGTCATTGTCCCCAGTCCGTCCTGCTTATTCCTCTTCGGGACCCCGCTGTCCCCAGTCCCCGGTCCGTGCTGCCCCTCCCCGGGACTCCGCGGCTCCTGGTCCCTGTGCCCGGTCCGCGCTGCCCGCTCCTATCCCGATCCCCGGTCCTTGTCGTTCCTCCCCGGGCTCCCGGTCCCCGGTCCGTGCTGCCCGCTCCTCCCCGCGGTCCCCGGGCTCTCCTGCCGTGCCTGGGGCCGTGTCACCTGAGCTCCCTCCCGTCCTTCTCCCCAGGTCTACTCTGCGCTCCAGTGGATCCAGTTCACCATGGCCATGCTCAGGTACGACACGCTGCCCATAGAGTTACTGTCGCAAAGATGATTTTACCCAGAAAAGCAAAAAAAGAGAACTCGCGTCTCCCAGCGAGGCAGACACGCTCCCTTTCCAACCTGTGCTTTGTTTTCTCAGCGTTGTAGGTTCCAGCTCAATTATTGCCTACGCCGTCTTCCAAAACGCAGTGCGGTCCCCTGAGGTAAGGTCTGAGCTTCCTTCTCCCTCCCTAAGCCATGGTGTTAGTCCCTGCAGGTTGGTCACACCTGTAGCACTGACTCTCTCCTAGGAGCAGCTGCAGGTCTTTGGGTAATGTGGTTAAACCTTGTTTAATAGCTGGGAGGCAAAGGGCTTGCTAAAAAATGGGCTCTTTGTCTTGGTAGGAGGTGAAAGGACTGACCTTGAACCTGTGCTTCTGCAGGGAGAAGCAGGTTCCTTAGTCCCATGCTTTCTGCTGCTCCAGGAAAGTCCTCCAGTCATTCCTGGGAGCAGGGATTTCTTAGTGTGCCCTCCTCAGTGGGGCAAAACTCCTGGAGGGCTGAAGAGTTGTGCACAAAGGTGCTGGAGTGCAAATTGGAGCTGCCCCTGCAGAAATGCTTTTATAAGTGTTGGGTTTTGGCTGTCTCCGAGCAAAGGTGCTGGAGTGCAAATTGGAGCTGCCCCTGCAGAAATGCTTTTGGCTGTCTCCGAAGTGTTTCTCTGGGCAGGTGTGCTACTAAAACTGACCCCACAGCCCTCCAACCCATCCTGCCAGGCTTGGGTGTCCACACACAGTCCCTCTGTCCAGGACTTCCTGGGGGCAGTGAGCCAAGCTGATCCCTGTGAAGTAGGGATTTGCTGTCCAGGGTTTGCAGGCTCAGCCTGGCCTGTGGAACACACAGAAAGTCAGTGGAGCTGGCAGCAGCTGTATTTGTCCTTCCTTCATCTTCATGTTCTTTGTACATCATGGGTTTGATCTGCAGCCCAGAGAATGGGACTTTCAGGGAATTCATGGAGCTATCCCTGGAGAAGCAAGGAATGCAGGCCATTGACACACTGCTGGATGACATGGTGGGAAGGAGAGCATGAGTCCATATTTGCAGGGCAAAGCTGTCCCATTTACAGCAGGGAGGACCTTGCTCCCAGCCAGCCTGCTGGAAACGCTCTGCCCAGCACATCCAGAATGAACTGTGGAGATCTCCATGCATCCCCAGGGAGGAACAAAAGCTGGGATTTCACCTTAGTGCTGAGATGGAAAATCTGCTTGAGATTGTGCTGCTCAAGGTACACATCAAAGTCTCTTTCTACTACATTTGCACCTGGAAAGATCCAGATGTGATTCCTTCTGGGGTCCTCTCTGGAATGATGTGGAGCAGGGGTTGGCAGTGTCCTGCTGTGACTCAGCAGCCTCATCCTGTTGGTTTCCATGGCCTGGTTGCTCAGGAGCCCTTCTGCTCTCAGTCATGTGATGGAGCTGTGGCCTGGGAGCTGCTCATGAGCCACACATGGCTCCAGGTCAACAATGGGCCCTTCCTGCTCCAGAGGGTCCAGATGTTTCTGCTCAGATTATTTCTGCAAATGCGGATAGGAGGGCTGGATGCCAGCTGGAGGGACTGGTTTGCATCAGCCTTCCAGGCTCTTCTGCTGCCAGGGGAGATCTGGTGCTGGGTTTCAAAAGTGACAAAATCTCCATTAACTTCCCCATCTTCTTGTCCTCATGTCTCGGGTCTGAAGTGGAAGTTTGTAAACAAAAGGGCTGGAAGAGATCCATATCAAAGCTTGCCACAAACAGCTTATTCCCTGAGTCATGAGGACCCACAGCAGAACATTTAAAAATAAACAGCTCTTTAGGCTGGGAGGAGAAGGATCTTAGAAACACTTCCCTTCCTGCCCTCAACCTCAGAAATCAAATACTGCATTCTTGGAGCTTGCTTTCTGTCTCTATGGGGTCAACAAAACCCTTCAGTCTGAGGAAAGTCATTCAGAAGAGGTGATGGGCAAGCAAGGAAGAACCCTCAGCTCAACACATTTGAGGAAGAACTCTCAGCTCAACAGGTTTGAGGAAGAAACCTCAGCTCAGCAGGTTTGAGGAAGAACCTTCAGCTCAGCATGTGCCTGGGCCATGGCCACCGAGCCAAATCCCCGTGTGTGCTGCAGCTGGAGCTGCCAGGATGTAAATCATTACATCTTTGGAGTCCCTTCCTCTATTTTATAAATACCAGTGGTTATTTTCTTTCCCCTTTTTCAAGCCAGAGCCACACGTGCCCCTGTGTCACCTACTTCTTTATCCAGGTCTCTGCCAAAACAGCTCCCAGACCCACCAGCAGTGCCTTGCTCCAAGGGCACTTGTACTGGAGAAAGAGGTCACCTGTTTGATTGCAAAAGTGCCTTCTTTGCTTATTTTAGATCTGTTTGGTTTAACCTGCCTTGATCACAAACTGGACAGTGCCCCCAGCCTGTCGTGCCAGGGCTTCATTTCTGCACCAGTGAGGAAAAGCCTGGTTAAAAAAAGGCATTTAGAGATGAAATCAAATTAAAATTAACTCCAGATCATTGTGCCTTGTGCTCCTTCATGCTCTAAGGACAAATCTGGCTCAATCAGATCTACCTTAACTCTTATCAGTCTTCCTAAGCTCTCTCTCATTGCACATGGGAACAAGTATAACACAACGTGGAGGGGGACATACATTTACTTCCAGGACAATATTGAGGCAAATCTCACCAAAAACTCAGCTCCATGAAAAGAAATACAAAATCAAAGCTGCTGAAGCATTTCCATGCTGTGTTTAGCATTATAATTTTCTGTAGGGAAAGAAAAACACCACAATTTTCTCTCCTGGGTGCTGAAAATGAGGTACCAAAGGCTTTAATTAAGAATGTAGGTAATTAGGTTGCTTTTCCAAAGTCTCTGCTCTCCCACTAACAAAGAAAATGTTGGCCAGAATTTTTGCACAAATGTTTTCCTGCAGTGTTTACAGTCCTGGCCAGTGAGTGCAAACTGGAAATGGCTGGAAACTGTTGTTGAAGGAGACATGACTCCTTTCCAGCAAGATGCAGCAATAATGGCTCTCAGTGGAAATTAATCCAGCTTGTAAAATAAACCCAACCTTAGTCATCAGTTGAAATGACACGGAACACATAGAAAAATGTTTGTTTCAAGTAATTCCAGACCTGAGGAAGGGTTTGTGTTTACTGGAAGTTTGATTTCTATCAAAATTGAGTTTATTTAAAACATGATGTCTCTTCTCCCTGCCAACCTGTCCTGTTCTGCAAAATTATAACATGGTGGATATTTGGGATATTTTCTGTAAGTTTTGATGCTGCTCTTGGGTCTTGTTGCAGAAGCAGTGGTTGGAGTAGGGAATGTGCATTGGAACTGCTCCTGAGAACACAAATCTATGTGGAATTTCCCTGCAAGGAGAGTTGTCTCTCCAGAAGAGCTGGGGGTTGACAGTGTTCAGATAACACCAGATAACCTGGTACTGATGTCTGAGCACAATTAATCTTTCTGCTATAATTGGTGTAGGAGTTTTAAAGGACTGAAAACAAGGATGACATTCAGGAGCAGAGACTGAAAAGTTTTCATCTGGCAACTTTTCTTTGAACTCTCTTGGCTGTGAAAGTAGAGGAGATTTTTCATTGGAGCTCTCAGGGTTTGCTGCAGATGAATTGACTGGTCTCAGAAATGTTGTCACAGTGCTTCCCTGAGGGTAAAGTCATCCCTCCACAAAGTGCCACTTATTCCCCATTTTCCCTCAATTAAGGCTTTCAAAATTACTTTGCAGTGGGGTTTTTCTACTGAAAAACTTTCCTCACCTGCAGAAAAACCTTTGGAATGCTGTATTAAATATCTTTATGTCTGATAAGAGGGTAAAACTGCAGCTGGGGGTGGGAGGGCTGTGACTGCACTCACACCTGCTGAGCCTTTTCCCTTTTCCAGGTGCGTCCACTTTTCTACCTGAGCCTCTCGGATCTGCTGCTGGGCATGTGCTGGCTGGCTGGGGCCCTGCTCTACAGCTCACCCACCTCCCAGCAAGACCTCATCTGCTACAACTTGCAGGCCACGGGACAGGTGAGTGGCCTTGGCACCACATTCTATAATTAACCTTGTAATTTGTCATAATTAACCTTGTTGTGATCAGAGCGTGGCCATGGGGGCTGTTTCTAGACAGGCTTTAGCAGATCTCTTGGCTTTGTGTGGAAAAGGGAGATAATGGCACTGGGGTTTAGGTTCCTCTGGTGTGTGAGAGGAAGAGAAGGTGGGATTTTGTGGTTGCTTGTGTGAAGTGAGCAGATGGGACTTGATCTCTCCTGTTGGATCCATGCCAATGGATCTCTGCTCTCTCATGGCAGCTTTTCTACTTCTCTTTGTGCTTCCTCCAGCCTGGGCAGGAACAGACACATTCTGTGACTTGCTTGAGCTCAGACTTAAATAACTCACATGAACATCCCATTTCTTGCTCTTCCCAAGGATTCTCCATCAGCACAAGCTCAGCCTGTGTCCCATTGACTCAGCTGCTTTCCAGCTGATCCTTGTGCTGGGGACCAGTTGGAGCAGGGTGGGTGAGCACTGTTTTCCTGACAGTTTGCTGTTGCCTCACACAGTTCCCATTTCCACAATAGGCTTTGCAAATCTCAGCTCTCAAAAATCTCTGCACAGTCCAGCTGAGCTTGGGGGTTCATAAATGATGATGTCTGGAATAAATTTTCCTTTTAAAGGATATGGCTGGGAAGAGCAAGGGGCTTTTGGAAGCCTTGATGTGTGGGCTCAGGCAGCTCCCTGAGAGTGTGGTGGCACCCACAACAGGGAACTGAATTGTCTTGAGGAACAGCAGCTGGAAAGGATCTCCATGTGCCTCAGAGAGGGCAAATAAATTTTCCTTTTAAAGGATATGGCTGGGAAGAGCAAGAGACTTTTGGAAGCCTTGATGTGTGGGCTCAGGCAGCTCCCTGAGAGTGTGGTGGCACCCACAACAGGGAACTGAATTTCCTCGTGGAACATCAGCATCCAAAGCTGGAAAGGATCTCCATGTGCCTCAGAGAGGGTAGGGGTGTAGCTGCAGGTGCAGGATGGAATTGTTCTGGCTGTTGTGTGTCTGGGGATGGGCTCCTGCAGCCCAGGGTTGTTTCAGCAGCTGTTTTTGGGGGTACAGATGTGTTGCATCACATACAGGGTGGTGAGAGCAGCTGTTCCACTCCAGGCTCATCTCTGGTCCCTACTAGCTCCACAGTATGTTCATGTTGAGAGAAACAGTGAGGTTTGGGTAACTTGGCCACTTGGGAATGATGCAGAACAACATCAAAGATGTTTTGAAGGTGATGGGAAATGGGAAAATGACGAGAGCTTGGGAGAGGCTTTCAGAGCTGGAAGGTGGAAGGAACAAGCAGGACTGAGGCTGTTCCTGAGCTGTTTCCCTTGCCTGGGGGACACTTCTTTCAGCTGGTATGATGTTTTTATTGCCTGGAGAAGGCAATTTGCACTGCTAGAGGAGAAATAATTTGGCTATGAAAAATATGCCCATAATTTCTCAGCTCCCTTGCACTTCTGGCTCTGTTCTGCCCTCACTTTTCCAGCCTGTGGCTGTGCTTCTCAGGGACACCAGCACAGGATGGGACAAGGTGGGAGCTTTGTGTTCATGCTGGGTGGGCCAGCTGGCCTTGGGCCAGGACAGGGCTTGTGGTGGGGTGTGCAGAGTCACACCCTGACCTCAGCCAGTGTCCCCTGGCTCCTCTCCTGTGTGCCACCACCAGTCCCCACAGCACAGGGACTGCCTGGGTGGCAGAGCCGGATTGTGCCTGGCAAGAGCTGTCGCTGCTGTTTGCTCTGGGAGAAATTAAAACAAACTGAGCCCTTGCCATAGCAACCTGTCCCCCAGGGCACGTGACAGTGCAGGACCTCCTCACCCAACACCCTGCAGTGCCCTTGAGAGGTGGGAACACCTTGTGCGTAAGAAGGAGCCAGTAACAGGTTGAACCAGCAGATTCTGCAGAGCAGGAGGGATCTGGAAGCTGATGCAATGAGTAAATAAATGTCTCACTGTGCTTCTGGGTGTCTCACAAACACCTGGGGCCTCTCTGCACACCAGCACCCAGAAGGTGTCAGATGAGCCAAGGTGAGGACAGGCAGGGACAGCCCAGCAGTGGAGTTTGCAGCCCTTGGAAGGCTCACACTGGAATCCTTGTGATGTCTCAAGGCACTGCCTTAGGAGCAGGGCAATATTTTGCTTTATTCAGGCTGTTTGCATTATTTGTCATCACAGTCATTTGCAGTCATTTGCATCATTTGCAGTGGATGGAGCTGCCCAGTGTCCAAACTGTGGCATAAAGGAGGAGATTGCTTTGTTTCTTGGATTTTACCTCTTTCAGCCCCGGAGCTTTGATTGATACGAATGTAAATACTGCTCCCTTTGCTGTCCCCCATTCTCTCCTCCTCCTGCATTGCAGTAATAAAGTCCAGGACAGATATTGTGGTTATAATTGCACAACTGCCCCACGTTCTTCCAGTTCAGTTCCAGTGGCCTAATAATGTCCTGGCAGGCTCTGCTCATGCTGGGCAGGACAATGGGAGCCACACAAGTGGGATAATGAGGGATTCTTGTGTCTCTGCTTTATCTCCTCATGGGCAGTGCTGCAGGACTGTCCCCAGCCCCAAAGCTGGGGCTCAGGAGAGCAGAATTCCCTTCCCTTCCTGCTGGCACCTTCACAAGTGACATTTGGGTCTCTGTTCCAAAAGGCAGCACTGATATTTCATGAGCCTCTCCCAGGCGTCCTGAAGTGCAAGAAAATGATCCTTGTGGACTGTTTTGGCCTTCTCTGGAAGTAGCTGGAAAAGGGCAACGGCCCCTCATTAAAACTCATTTAATGAGCTGGAAAGTCACAACAATGTTTGTGGCAGCCCTTGGACTCAGCCTCTTGAGCCAGCCAAGAGCATTCACAACCTCAGTGAAGGAGGCCAGGTTTGTTTAGTCACCACTTTCCCAGCCGTGGATGATACCAGGGTGGCAAACCTGTGCTCCTTATCTTTTTGGCAAAGGATAGCAAAGCCACAGAAAAAAAAAAAAAATTTCCTTGTCCAGCCCTTCCTCTTTGCCACTGTAGTTTGTGTTTCCTGTGACAAACACAGCACATGCATGTACATGGTCTTGATTAGGCAACCTGGAGTAAGCATGAATTTGGAAACAAATTTGATTAACATTTGGGCAGGTTTATAGGAAATTTTAGATAATTAGACTTATCTCAAGCTGGAATCAAAGGCTATGAAACTCTCAGTGTGCTCTATCTTTTCTCCTTTTTCCCATGGAGGAAGAAAAGGGATTTTGGGACATTAACTCAGGCTGAGGGCAGAGAATATCTGCCCTCACATTCCTCTTGAAATATCCAATTGTTTTCTGTTTCCGTGAATTCTCTGCGTAGTGAGCTTATTATGCAAGAAGCAAATCTAAATGTCACATCTGTGCTGTGTTTCCTAATGGACATAGATAGCACTGAGAAGGTCCAAGTGCCTCTGAAACCCTCATTGCCAGGCTCTGAGCCAAAAAAAATGAGCCAGATCACAAAGATTTTTATTTCTAAGACAGTTCTGCTGTCATTAGTTATCCTGTCTGAGGCCAAAGTGAAGCTGCTTTTGTGTGGTTTAAAGTGGGAATCTCTCTCCAACCTGGCTCTCCCCAGCTGGATGTGAGCACAGCCCCTGTGCTCAGATCCTCACCTTTGGCAGGTGTTCATCATCCTGCCTCTGTTCCAAGGGATTTGGGAGGAACTAAACATGCTCCAGGAATTTTTATTCCAGCACTGAAATGCTGGTTTTATTTCTCAGATATTCTACGTGGCCTCTTTTCTCTACACTGTCAACTACACCTGGCACCTGTACATGGACCTCAAGGTGAAATACAACCAGAACCTCTTCAGGGTTCTGAGCCAGGTGAGTGGGACTGGTGTGGGACTGGTGTAAAGGCTGGGAACCCAGGGACAAGGACACAACACTCATGAAAAACCTCCCTGCATTGCAGGCTGAGCAAATACTTCACACACCCCGTGACCAAAATCTCTCCTTGCAGTTAATTCCTCCCTCCCACCCAAAAAGGGAGGCACCACCGCTGCCATGACCAGGCTGGGGAATACCCCAGCTATTCCTGCAAGATGGCACATTCCTTATGCAGCTCTTCCCAACAAACCCATCAGCCCCACTGCCCTACACAGCTTCCCCAGACATTTGCTGTGCACAGTAAACTTTGTATCCCAGATATTCCATCTGGAAGTTCAGGAGCAGCAGGCTGGGCAGATCCCCCTCAGCTGCTGAAATGCCCCCTGGAAGCTGATTCCTGTGAACCAGGGGCTGTGCAGAAATAATTTAATTAAGATTTTTGGATTTTGCAGGTTGTAGATTATGCAAGTTGTGTTGGCAGAATAGCAACGATCTTGTCAAGGTAAGATTTCATTCTCCCTGGCACAGGGTGTGGATTTGGTGAGAGTTAATTCTCCCTGGTGGGAGAGTGTGGATTTGGCAAACTGCAGTGTGTTGATCCCTGCTTCCTACTTGTTTTGAAGCAAATTTTACTAAAAAAGCTGTAAAGCTCATCATTAACAGCAGAGTGACCTCATGAATGCAGAGTAAGAGGGTTTTTTCAACCAAGTTAATGATAACTTTATTAACTAGATGTGGTTTTCCAGAAGGTTTCCCTTTACCAATGATTAGCCCTCACAAATTAAAAGCCCCGACGCTGGTAAAGCTGATAAAATACTTTTCCAGAGCAGTGCCAATAAAAACAACTTTAAAGTCCTCTGTAGTGATGGGAGAAAAACCAAGCAGTGCCCAAGTGGAGCAGTGCAATAACCCATGACTGTGCTCTCCTTTCTCCTCCCAGCCTGATCCCTTTCCTCCTCATGGTGCCGGTGTTTTGCCTGGGCAACAGCAGTAATTGCTACCAGAACTTCAGCCAGAAGCACGGGTGAGCTTCCTCCCTTGCTCTGGCACAGCCCCAGCGCTGCTCTGGCGGGGGTGGGCAGGAGCTCAGGCTGTCCCCTGTGTCCCCAGGTGTCTCCTGATGCACACGGAGATGGCCGAGCCCCCCAGCGAGCCGCAGGGCCTGAGCGGCTCCGTTTGCCGCGCGATGCATTTCTACGGCATCGGCGTCTTCCTCGTCTCCTTCCTCATCAGCTTCGTGGCCATCCTGGTAAGGCTGGTCCTTGTGGAGCCCTTGGGTGGCTCCAGAGGCCGGGAAATCATGGAATGGTTTGGGTGGGAAGTCACATTTAAGCTCATCCAGTGTCACTCTCTGCCATGGGCAGGCTCAGGTTGCTCCAAGCCCCATCCAACCTGGCCTTGGACACTGCCAGGGATGGGGCAGCCACAGCTTCTCAGGGAAGGATTTGCTCCCAATATCCCATCTAACCCTGCTCTCAGTTTTCAATCCTTTCCCCCCTATCTGCTCACTCCATGTTCTTGGTAAATAGGGCAGGGGAATAATTGTGTGGTGCTGCTTCCCTTTTGGAAGGGGTGGTAGGGGAGGGAAAATATCACTGTGCCACCAGATAAATCCATCTGGAGTCCTGTGTTCTGTCAACCCATCCCAGGAATATTTAGCAGGATTTCAAAGGCTTGGAGCTTGGCAGAAGAGATCACCTTCTGCGTGGGTCAGCAAGACGTGATTAATGGTTGGACTCCATGGTCACAGAGATCTTTTCCAGCCTAAACAATTTAATAAATCTAAAATCAGTTCAGAGTCTTCAGTTTAGAAAAGGCCACATGCAAAGCAACACCTCCCACAGGATTTCAGTGCTGTGTGAAGAGGTTGGATAGACTGGGATCCATCCTGGATGAACGCAGCAGATCACAGCCTGTACAATAACATTCGCCTGTTCTTTTCCAGGTTATCCTGAGTCAGGCCCGAGGGCTGTACAAGAGGTTTGTGAACTCCACAGGATTCCTGGGGGATCAGCAGTGGGCCATGATTAAGATGGTGGAACAGCGGGTGGTTTTTTACCCCGTTGCCTTCTTCTGCTGCTGGGCCCCAGGTGAGCAGAGAGTTCCTCCCACAGCATCTCCCTGTAGAACCCCAGAGAGGTGGGGTTAACTTCACCCTCTCATCCATCCCTTTCCACAGCTGTCGTCCTTGGAATGCTGAAATTGACTGCTTCAACAACCAGCAAAATCTACATGGCTCTGCTGATCCTGCAGGTAAATGTCTGCCCCTGCAGCCTCCTTCCTTCTCACCTTGAGTCTCCTGCCCTGCATCCCTGCTGAATGCAGCTGGACAAGGATCTCTGCTGTGTGAGCCCAAGTCTGATTTGTGCTTTTGCTTGGCAAAGATCTTGGTTTGGTGGTTTATGTTTTTCGCAGGCTTGAAAAGGTCTCAGTACCCAAAATCCCAGCACCACAACAGTTTAGTGGTGAACAGGGTGCTGGGTGGATGTTTGGACTTGGTGACCTCAAAGGTCTTTTCCAACCTCACTGATTCTGTGGTCATGGAAATTGTGGCAAATAGGACCAGAAAGGGAAAACAAAACCAATTTCTGGGGATCCTATGTCCCTAAGTCTCTTAATGTGATTCCTTAATAATTCCTCACTTGTCCACCTCCTTCCTGTGCCTGAGGCAGAAGTTAGACATTTTATTAAATTATATAGTTATTATATACAAACATATTTAATATATATTCTGTACTTGTATAGCATTTATATTTAATTATATATTCATGAAACATTTCTTAAAATAACAGCACAATTTCTCTATCACACGGAAGCTAAAATCCTGCTGGGAGGGGGAGGTTTTCCAGGGATCCCTGATTTCCCCGTGCTCTCTCCCAGGCTCTCACCGCAGCTTCCCAGGGGCTCCTGAACTGCCTGGTGTACGGCTGGACCCAGCACGTGTTCCTGTCCCTGAAGCGCGGCTCCCGGCGGGATGTGGACACGCAGACCCCGCTCCTGCGCTCCCAGAAGAAGTTCTACTCCAGCACAGCCCCCTCCGGTCCGCCCGACACCGCGGGCTCCTCCTCCACCCTGCTCTGATGCTGCCCTGCCTGGAGGGAGAGAGGCAGAATCCTTCCAACTCCTTCTCCAGAGCCACCGGGAGGGAACTGTCCCTCGGGCCCGAGCCCCAGGAGCTCAGTGGACATAGTTATTTATTTGATGGATTCTTTCAGCGTGGTAAATCTTTAGTCCAGACTTTCTCCTCCTGGAAATATCCCTAGAAGTGCAGCAAACCACATGGAAAGGCTCAGAGACCTGGTCCAGCTCCACGGAGGTTGAGCAGAGGATGTTTTACTTTGTTTTATTTCTCCAAGTCATTGCCTTTACAAATTAACAAAAAGCAAAATGAGTATTTTTCAATCCCTGCCTTTTAATTCACTCTAACCATGAGAATTTGCACCACCCTAAGAACCAATTGCAGGGAGTGAAGAATTGCAAAGGACAAAACCTGCCTGGAATTTTTGCACATTTCCCTTTCCTTCTTCCTGCCAACTTCCTGCTCAGCCACAATACTCCCAAAAATCAGCTGCTTCGACCCTGTGGAGCATCTCTCATGAACCAGGTGAGCAGGACTTTGAATCTCTCTTTGCATTTCCAGATGTTCACATGAATTATTTACTGAGGTCCCACCATTCTGTAGGAAATAAACCAGGCCTTAAGCTGTCTTGACAACAACTCTTTACCTTTACACTCTTTATTTTCCAACAGCTTCACGTTTTCGGTCCAACCCAAATTTTTCTCATAGCAGGTTAGACAAGAAGAGGAAATACTCCAGCTTTGTGTAATTAACTTACACAACATAACTGTGTAAACTCTGGGTAAGTCACACAAGGGCCCTGGAGGTTTGGTCAATGACTTATTTTCTCCTACAGAGTGAAACTGAGTGCAACAATTCAATTTTGCTGTTCTACAGGATAAAAACAAAGTTTTCAGCCATCTTCTTCCACCTGGTCTTTCAAATCCTCCTCTAGCTCCAAAGTTTGGACATGGATGACTCTGTCCAGCCCCACTTCAAAGGCAAATATTCCACAGGGAGGATGGGATTCGTGCCCTGGCACTGGCAGGGCATGAAACACACTCAGTCTCATCCCTGAGGGCCTCCTACACCCTCCTGGAACTGACCCCATTTGTGGAGCCAGTGCAATTTGTTTAAAAGGGGATTAAGGCTTCCTAAGTGATGGAAGATTACTCAGGAAACAATGATTGGATTGCTAATGGAGCATCAGAGCTGGCAGTGGGGGCTGACACATTCCCAGGGCTCCTCACACAGCTCAGCAGCCCCTCACTGTTTGTTTGAGGGGAGTTTTCTTGCTGGAAAGAGCCATTCCATGGGCACTCACAGCTGGCTTGGCTGCTCTAAGTGCTTCCAGGAAATTGTTCCCTCAGTCCCTTTCCCAGTCTGGAGGCTCTGAGGGTCTCTCACCACCCAACCCACTCTGAACTCCCCTAAGTCACCAAGCAGAGGGAAATTCTGTTACAAGGAAGGAGCCCGAGCTCTCACAACTGCCCCATCTTGTGTCCTGAAATGCTCCTGGGCCAAGGGTGTGTCTGGTTCCTGTCACCAAGCCCTGCTCAGGATAACAAAACCATTTCCAGAAGCAGGAAGGGCCCAAGTGCCACCCTGAGGCTCTGTGTCCAGAGAGGTGAGGGAAGCACTCCCTGGCCCTGGAAAAGCACAGGGCCATCAGCAACAAAGCAGATCCATTTCTCACCACCCAGTGTCCCCCACTCCAGCAGGGCTCCCACCTCAACCACCTGCAAGGATCATCAGCCCAGAGGATCTGGGTGTTATTCCCAGTGTCCCTGAAGACAGAAGGACTCATCCCTGCCTTCCCTGACTGCCCAGTCCAACCCCACAGCCCTCAGGGGTTAACTGGGAGCACTGGGCAGGTGCTGCTGCCATCTGATGGAAAGCTGGGCTTAAAAAAGGCAATTTTGGCTTATGTTGCCAAGTAGAGCCCAGGATTTCCTAGGGATTTATCCAGCCTGTCATCTCAAATCTTCATTCAAGTGTTTATTCCTATGGATAAGGGAGGTGGGATGGGGGGCTGAGGGTGGGAGAATAATGGAATCATGGAATCTCTAAGGCTGGAAAAGCCCTCTAAGACCATCAAATCCAGAAATTAACTCAGCACCACTGTGTTCACCACTAACCACATCCCCAAGTGCTGCATCCACACCTTCTGGACACTTCCAGGGAAAAGCAGGGTGGCAGGAGAATCTTCCTGCTCTTCCCTCCCACTCCTTCCTTCTCTCCTGCAGGGATTTGGGAACCAAACAAAAGCAGCAAGTAACTTTTGAGTTTAGTAAAATCATTTATATACAGGATGGGTAATATTTACAATGTAATACTGATCCAAAAGGAACTAACAGGGAACACTGAGAGGAGAAATGAGAACATTTTAACACACAGGAGTTAAACATGGGGACAGACTCAGGTTTCCAAAAGAAAATCCAGAAGTAATGACAGCAAAAGTTTGACATGTTGCTATTTCCAATCAAAATCTCTTTCACTAATCAGGTTCTCCTAATTTTAATATATATAGAAAAGCTTCAAATAATCAAGTCACAGGAGAAGCCAGTTATACAGAAAATTTTGAAAAGGTCAAATGATTTCAGACATTTTTCTTCATTTAAATAAAATTCTAAAAAAACCCAAAACCCAACAACCTCCAGAGCTTTCCCACATATTTTTAGTGTTTGTACAAAGAAATTCTTCTTTGATCCCACACTTCCAGCTCAAGATATTTACAATATTCACAGTCTGCTATAAAGGATCAGTAGATTTATTACCAAGTCAAGCCTCAGAGAATCAAGACAAGGTGTCTTGCACTTGCTTCAACTGAAAAATAAACTAAACACAGGAAGGAGAAAGTCAAATGCTACTTTCAAACACATAAATGAATCCATTAAAGTTATTGAACTTTGAAATGTAAAACAGAACTTTTCCAAGAGTAAAAAAATCAACTTTCTCATAGAAACAAAACCATTTGACCTTAAGTCTTCAAATTGTGTTTTCTTAACCTGTCCCTCCTCCCTCTGCTTCAAATCAGACCCTTATTTATCACAGACAAGAAAATGTAGATTAAATCCATCAAAAGCCCTTGGAAATTTGTACAAATGTTCCCACCTCAGGATCAGCAGCACTTAAGGGATGAAGAAAAGGAGGAATCCTCCAACACACCAGATCCCACCTTCCCCTCTGACTGCACTTCCAACAAATTCTGACTCCCAAAAAACTGCCTGAGGATTTTCCTCCTGGGAGGGCAGAGTCACAAAGTGCTTTTGGAGGGGATTTTTCTTTTTGCTCTGCCATTCAAACAAAGGTGATTTCCTTGTTTCCATCTCTATCTGCCACACTTGAAAGTTTCAATTCCTCAGAAATACATGGATTTCAAGTCCAAAATGAAATCATTTCAAGACATGACCTAGAATTAGAGCAAGGACAGAAATGCACGTAACAGGGCTTGGTGGTACAGCCAAAAAATTGACAAAAACTCTCATTTTTTGCTAATTCTCTTCAGTTTTCATCAACAGGTCAGTGCACAAATATTCCAGGTAGTGTTAGAAGTACAATTGTAGCTCACAGAAACTCCCTGCTCCCATCAGAGGATGGAAAAGCAGGGACTGTTCTTACCCTGCAATAGATCAGGCATTGGAAAACTGTCCACAGGATTAAGGAAAGCTGACAGAGAACAGGAAACAAAGCATCTCCTTCATGTAGAAAAAACAAGTCACTGTTTAGAAAATTGTATAGAAAGAGTCAGACACTGCTTTGCCATCCAGCTAAAGCTGCAAGGAAATTTTGGTATAGAAAAGAGACAAAAAAAGAACAAGGCTGGACTTTTGTAGGAGAGAACTGGGAGATTCATGGCTCAGGTTTGTCAATGTAAACCCAAAAATGGACGAGCTGTGAAAGACAACAACGTTCAGGAGTGGTCACTGATGGCCCTGGGTTGGCACTTCAGTCTGCAGACCAGACTCACCCGACGTCTGCACGGATTTGGTACCAAAATAGCTCTATAAAAAGCCTCCGCCCGATCTCGAAAGAAAGAGAAGCAGAAAAGGTAGAAAACTAGAACTATGTACAGATTCTTGCCATTGGTTTGCTTTATCAGGATTTAAAAAAGCAGCTTTTGAAGCCAATGTTCCAGACTAGAGTAAGAACCTGCCCTGGGGAGCAGGGAGCAGCCCTGCAGTTGTGGCTCCCCCAAGAAGGAGCTCGAAGGCATCAGAGACGGGAATTTGGGCTCGAGACAAATCCCAGGGGTTTGAAATCCCAGAGCACTGGGAACCTCCCTGGGAGCAGCTCTGCCAAACAAGAGGACAAGTCAGAACCCAAGCCTTGGATCTTCTAGGAAGGAAAGAATGGGAATATGGGGGTGGATCCCACACAAACAAAGCCCAGGCTGGTCTCGATCCATAGAAGAACCCACCATGGAAATTAAAAGAACTTGTGCATAAAGACTTGAACATTCTTCTGCTCTGCTGTTGGACAAGGTTAGAAAAAGAAGAGTTTTGTGCTGAATGGCTGATTCAGCCTTAAAAAAGCTCTGAGGAAGATGAGGAGAAAGAAAGAGAGGAGGTTAAGCCTTAAAGAAGGTCTGAGGGAGATGGGGAAGATGACAAAAAAAGAGAGTCACTGCTCAGAACTGAAAATTTCAGCAAGCACATGGCCTCAGGTTCCTGGGCCAGGCACCAAGCCAAACTGAAGGGTATTTAATTGATTTTTCTCTACCTAAAGACCTGGAATTTAGGTGCCAAAGGGAGCTGTGAATTTGCATTTCACAGCACTTGCTTCAAGTACTCACTGAGCAGGGGCTTGAGAAACTGTGGCTCTCCTTTGTATACAGTCACTGCAGGGGCTGGATGTGGCAGGTGAAAGGCAGCTTCTGCAACTGGTTATTAAGAAAAAGAATGGTTTTTAACAATAAAATCCACCCCAATTGTGGGGCTCATGATTAACAGTACATAAGTGATCATATATACCTCGAGGAACTGAGTTTTAAAAAAATATTACAGTACCAATGATTTTTTTTTTTTGTATCTACAACTATACAGCATTTTCAAGCAGTATGGAAATTTAATGAAATAATTATGATTTATTAATTTACATAAAAATACTTTTTACAGTTAAAGAATAAATCTTAAATGGTAAAAAAAATAAGATTAAGAAGCTCCAGCTATTGAGAGTCGTGGGAATTTGTCTGCTCTTCAATCACTTGTTTGACGATTTCTGCCAGTTTTAGTCGATCCACTTTGTCTGTGAATCCTCTGCCTGGAAGGGGAAAAAAAGGGAATCAGTGGAGCTGGGCACAAGGAGGAAAGCAATCCCAGCTGGAATTAAACAATGCTTCACACAGACTTAAGGCAACAGCAGCACAGGATCCAAAAGAACTTACAGACCATGGTTCTGTTGGAAAAATGGAGCAATTAAAGATCTCAATGAAAGCTAAGCAAATAGAACAGAGGAGGAAGCAGGATCAAGCCCTTGTGAAGCTGGCTGATGCTCCTGGTCCCTTACATCCATCAGCACCTGCTCCTGGGGGCTGACACCTCTGCAGCCTCTTCTGTCCAGGAGCCACCTGAGCATTCCAAGGTGCCTGTCCTGGTTTCATTCTGCTTCCCACCCAAGCTGAGCTGCAGAGCTGACAGGGAGGAGCAGCCTCCAGCAGAAAGAGGGAATAAACAGCTGGATGGAAAGCAGCTCAACACAGCTGAAGAGGTTCCTAAAAGGATCACAGAATCCTGGAATGGTTGGAAAGGACCTTAAAGGTCATCTGAGCAGGGACACCTCCCACTATCCCAGGCTGATCCAAGCCCTGTCCAACCCCTTCCTGGACACTTCCAGGGATGGGGCAGCCACAGCTTCTGTGGGCAACCTGTCCAGGGCCTTCCCACCCTCTCAGGGAAGGGTTCTTTGCATATATCCCATCTATCCCTGCCCTCAGTTTAATATTCCCCCTTTTCTATCATGATCCATTTGTGCTGTTACATTCCTGGTGCCTCTGAAAGTTCAACCCTGACCCTCAAGGAGAAATCTCAAAGCAACACTTTGGGAACACCAGTTCTGGCAGAAGGGATGAAACAGTGTCAAAACCTAAATCAGCCCAAATCCAATACATTTGGGGTTATTTCCATAGCAGGAGGTCTGTGCTTCCCCCTTTTCCACCTTCCCTGTGGGAGAGCAGGAATTCTCACCATTCCAGCTGAAGCTCTGCAGGGTGTCTCGCAGCAATTTGCACTCCCTGTTGTATTTCCAGGCCTCCTGCATCACTTCATTCAGCTTCTCATCTTCATTCTCTCCTGTTTGGGACAACAAGGGACACAGGAGGTTTGGACTTGTGCCTCACTCAGGGCTCAGCAAACTGGGCAGTTATTCCTGCTGACCCCACACAAACCAGGAAATGGCTTTTAAACCAAATATTCCTGTTTGAAAGTTCTTTTAACAGCTCTGCATGTCACTAAAATTCCACATGAACCCAAATCCCAGCTCACAGGCTGCCCAGGAGTTTTCTTCCTTCCTCACCACTGACACAGACAGACCCAAAGTCGGGGCCTTGCACTTTTAGGAATAAAAGGTTCTTAAAAGTGGCAACCTTTACCAGCCTGTGGTAGAATGCACTGAGCAATCACATCTCTCAGCTTCTCCAGAGCCACGTTGGAATCGTTGCTTCCATTCTCAGGGTCATGGATGTAAACACCATCCTTTGGCTTGGTGCTGCACAAGAACAAGGGGGAAATAATTAGAATTTGGGTGCAGCTCAAGCTTGTTACTTGTTGTGTAACTGCTCCAGTCTAAAACAGCTCCTTCCCTCTCTGGGAAACGGGGAGACAGGTTCAGCATTAATTATAATTCTTGTCCTATATTATGAGATCATTTTAAGTATGGAGAAAAAGAAATATTCCTTTAAATGACTTCAAATAAGGGTAATCCTAAAAGTCTAAGTCTATTTTTTAGATTAACTCAAACAAAGAGAGAGTTTACCTGACTTCTTCAGTAAATGTCAGGATGAAAAAAAATATCTTGGAATTCTTTCTCCCAGTTTGCCTTATCTTACATGTGACCCATCATCCCAAAAGGAATCTGTTCAATGCAGGAACAGTGTCCAACCTCCTTCCTGCCCTCACTGGCACATCTTGGCAGAAAAAACACATTGTGCCACTATTACTTGTCTGAGCAACACCAGAAGTGTGTTAAACCATCACAACTGAGCCTGTGCCATTCCCAAAGCCATTTCCCAGCCACCCCAGCTGGCTCCACGTTGTCCTTCCAAGCCCAGCTCTGGAGTTACCCCAGGAGTTTCCGCTTGCGCAGGATCGGGTTGTTCACGGAGTGAAGGGGCTTCAGGCTCACTTTGAGGTCTTGGATTCTCATGTTTGCAAGTTGTTCTGCATGAGCCTGTTGGATCCCTGCCACCATGGCCTGGAAAGACAAAAGGGGCACTTGGTGCAACAACATATGGACAGTGTTTGCCATGGGCGAAAAAAAGAGGCACCAAAACCCGATTTATTTTTGAGATGTGCAAGAAAAGTCAGGTTTGCATGAAGCAAGGTACGGTTAATCAGTGACAAAATATCTGTGGGGGAAACAGGATAAAGGATCATCTCCTTCTCATATTCACAAGATTGACTTTGAGCAGAAATTAAAGGAAACAAGGAGTATTTGTTTAATTAGTGAGGTCATTGCTGTAGTGGGGATAAAACATGGCAGAGGAGGAAAGACCTATGGAAGATCCCTCAGGCTCTGCTTTCTGCCATCAGCACTCTCATTACACCAATCTGGGAGCATCTCCTTCAAGCCCAAATTTCACATTTTATTTCCCTTTTCACTTCTGTTTCCATTTTCTCCCTGCAATCTCAGGCTCTCCTAAAGCAGAAGAGAAGCTCCTTTTCTGTATAATGCCACATCAAAAAAACCCTTCACCCATCCCAGAGCTCTCCTGCTCCTCTGCAACATTCCTGACCAAATAACTGCTGCTCAGACCTTGTCCATCATCAGCTGGGCAGAGGGCAGGATGTTGTCCAAGGCCTCAGTGGAATTGAGCCAGGGATGGTCCAACACCCCCTCAATGGTCAGACGTTCCTCAGGTTTGACCTTCAGCAGCCTGGGGAGGAAAGAATAAATCCCTAAGAAAGGGTTTGTTGATTTACA